ATGATGGTCATAAAAAGGTGGTTCATCATATGACTGAGCTAAGCTTACAACCTTTTTAAAAAATGAAGGTTGTTAAGCAAACATGACAGTCATTAAGCAAATGCAGCAGTTATTAAGTGAACCATTGTTTGCTATAGGCAGGTCTTTCCTGGAAACAAGAAGTTAGGATAGAACAGGATAGGGCAGGACAGAACAGAACAGAACAGAATAAACAGAGTTGGAAGGGACCTTGGAGGTCTTCTAGTCCAACCCCGTCTAGGCAGGAAACCCTACACCACTTCAGACAAATGGTTATCCAATCTCTTCTTTAAAGAGTTGGAGCATTTACAACTTCTCGAGGCAAGTTGTTCCACTAATTAATTGTTCTAACTAAATGCCAGTTTCCAGAAAAAACTGTCATAAATCAAAATCAAGAGACTGTGGGGTACTGCAAAATATCATACAGGTGATCCTTGACTTACAACCATTCATTTAATGACATTCAACCTGACAAAGATATTGAAAAAAGTGACATATCATTTTTCACCCTTACAACTGTTGTAGCATCCCTGGGGTCGTGTGATCACCATTTGCAACTTTCCCAGCTGGCGTCTGATAAGCAACATCAGCCAGATTGGCTTAAATGTAAGCTGTTTGCCCAAAATGCATAATGTGACCACCGGGAGGGGCCAATGTTATAACTACGAAACCAGGTCCTAAGTAGCTTTTGGGGAGTCCATCAAAACTTTGAATGGTCACTAACAACTGGATATAAGTCATGGGCTATGTATATTGATAATTCTCCTGACATAGAATTTGCAGCCCGAGGCCTTTGCCCATTTGCCCTAGTTATACAGCTAACATTTATTGCTTTTGTAGAAACAATATGTATTTTATGGATGCATTTTACAATTTTAATATTTAAAAAAAATTATCTTAGTAGAACGTGCTTTCCATAGTCATTTGAAGCTGACACTGATAAGAAATGCAATTCTTATCTTTCATCAGATATCCGTTTTGCTGGACCAAAGAACAGAGCACAGGAGCAGAATTTACACAGATGAATCTGTACTTTCCCATCTCAGACAGTAAAAATCTTGCCATTCCTGTCTGAATTTAGCCTTGAGACAGCAAATCAGTAGAGACCTGAAGTTCCAAGCACAGTGTGTGCGTGTGCGTGTGCGTGTGCGTGTGCGTGTGTGTGTGTGTGTGTGTGTGTGTGTGTGTGTGTGTGTGGTGTTTTGTGTAAAGTCAGTGATGCAAAGTCCAGTAAATTTTAAGCAGAAGTCTCCAAACTTGGCAACTTTAGGACTTGGGGACTTCAACTTCCAGAATTCCTCAGCCAGCCATGCTGCCTGGGGAATTCTGGGAATTGAAGTCCACAAGTCTTAAAGTTGCCAAGTTTGGAGAGCCCTGATTTTAAATGTCCAAATGTTTGGTGAATTCTTTTGTTATGAAATTATCATTATAATATGCTTATATGTAAGTATTAAACTAAAAAATTAAAAAGTGTTATTATCCCTAAGGAACTAGGTGCAAAACCAATAAAAACAATTTGATGGTCCAGTGATTAAGACACCAGGCAAGAAAATAGAAGACCATGAGTTCAGGTCCTGCTGTAGCTTGAAAGCTAACTGGGTGAATTTGGGCCAATCATCAGGAGCGGTGAGTTCTAGTCCTGCCTTAGGCAAAAAAGCCGGCTGGGTAACCTTGGGCCAGTCACTATCTCTTACCCCAATTCACCTCACAGGGTTGTTGTTGAGGGACCATAGGAGGAGGAAGGTATATTAGATACGTTTGCCATCTTGAGTTATTTGTAAAAATAATAAAGCTGGAATAAATACAAATAAATTAAGTAAATTAACAGTAAAACAAATTCACTCAAAATAAGATAATCAAACAGTATTAGTTCATAACGAATGTGGCAGCTTTCCAACTTTTCAGGAACTGGTAGTATAAAGAAGTTCCTTGATAGGTAGAATTTGTGTTTAGTTTATCCTCAAACCTTTTGGGAAATTTATACTTAAAAAAATGTTTGCTACTCTCCTGAAGCAAGCGATCAACAGTAAGCTCTATTTAGCTATTGAAATGATAGCTATAAAAATACAGATTAATTCGAACACTGTAAAGTAAAACCGTTCAAGGCTGTACTGCTGGTGTGATAATTGTCATCTCTCTCCTAGCAATGCCCATAATGGCATAACAACAAACTTTCTACATCTGTGTCTCATCAAGGGATTTGCCTATGCTAGTATCTGTGGGTGGGATTGGTTATAAACAAGAGGAGTATATGGCAAAAAAATATATTCCTTGATTAGTAAACCCTTGCTGTTTGCAAGGACATTCTGAAACGGGGGAGCAAGGAAGCTGTCAAAAAATAGATAAATAAATAAACACGGATTCCATGTTTTGTAAATGAAGCTCCATGCCTCTTTTTAGATGTCCTAAATAAATTCACTGACTAAAACTCTCAAGCTTTTAACATGAAAAAGCTAAGTGCTAATATTACTAATATATTGAATCTGTTTTGGAATATATCAAGTTGGAACACGTAGCAGCATCTCAGTATCTGACTTCTATATACAGAGGTGGGTATTCAGCAGGTTCTGACCAGTTCAGGAGAACCAGTAGTGGAAATTCTGAGTTGTTTGGAGAACTGGCAAATACCACCTCTGACTGGCTCCGCCCTCATCTATTCTCTGCCTCCCGAGTCCCAGCTGATCAGATGGGTCTTCATTTGTTGCCCTGCACAGGAGAACGGAGCTGGAAAGCAGGTTAGTGTGGTGGGGAGAGAATGGGGATTTTGCAATATCCTTCCCCCAGGAGTGGGGAGGGAATGGGATTTTACAGTATTCTTCCCCTGCCACACCCACCAAGCCACGCGCACCAAGCCACATCATGTCTACCAAGCCACACCCACAGAACTGGTAGTAAAAAAATTTGAATCCCACCACTGTTCTTTATCATTATCAAAATTAATAAATCACATTCAAGTAGATTCATATGCAATGCACAATTCGATTTGTGCAACACAAGAGGCAAGTTCACAGATGACACTGCACTCACAACCAATTGTACAACAGTCTGACTTTGACAGATGGGTGGGAAAAGTCGTGAGGGTCTGAAAACTGGAACCAAACTGCATTTATTGAAAGCAGCATGAAGTTTAAATAGTTAAATATCTCAGAAAATGGCTACAGTTATCCTCGATTTATGATTAGTTCATTAGTGACCATTTCAAGTTATGTTAGACTATCCCAAAGCTATTATAAACCCGGTTTTGAAGCTCCAATAAGGCACACCTCCCACAGTCACACAATCAAATTTTGAGAGCTTGGCTAGAAATTGGCATTTGCTTCCAGCAAAAAACACCTGTTGGCTATAAGGGACGTGTTTATTAATTGTTGCATTTGCTAATTGACCGCTGCAAAAAACATTGGTCAAATCATGGTGACCCCTTAACAGGCATGACTTGCAACTGTAATTCCAGGCTCTCAATTAGGGTTGTAAGTCGAGTAGAGTTAGTCCTCGACTTACAACCGCAATGGAGCCCAAAATTTCCTTCGCTAAGCAAGGCAGTTGTTAAATGAATTTTTATGACATTTCTGGTGTGTTAAGTGAATCATTGCATTAGTTGCTAATTGAATCTGGCTTCCCCATTGACGTCACTGGTCAGAAGGTCACAAAAAGTGATCACAGGATCCCAAGACAACTGCAACTGTCATAAATACGAGACAGTTGCCAAGTGTTTGAATTTTGGTCATATGACTATCGGGATGCTGCAATGGTCATAAGTGTGAAAAACAATCATGTCGCTTTTTTTAGTGCCGTAAATTCAAACAGTCACTAAACAAAGGGTTGTAAGTCTAGGATTACGTGCACCACCTCTATTCTGAAATTTTCAAGGGGAAAACATTTGTAGCAGGATGTCTATAAAAGAGGGCGAGTTAAAAAAAATAGATAGTACCAGCCACAACCACCACCAAAGTCACTATCTTGATTTTTTTATTTATTTTCAACCCATCCTGCAGATGCCCCTATGCTTAGAGCAGGAGTGTCAAACTCACATCGTCATGGCAGCATCACGTGACGTATCGGGAATTTTTTGCCCCTTCACTAAACTGGGTGTGGCCGTGGCCAGCGCATGACGCATCCAACCCGTTGTCTGGGAGTTTGACAGCCCTGGCTTACAGTAAAAACTTTTCAGCATACTTTTAAGTCCATTCTGTCAGTGGTGGGATTCAAAATTTTTTACTACCAATTCTGTGGGCATGGCTTGGTGGGCGTGGCATGGTTTGGTGAGTGTGGCTTGGTGGGCGTGGCAGGAGAAGATTACTGCAAAATCCCCATTCCCTCCCTACTCCACTAACCTGCTTTCCAGGTCTGTTCTTCTGTGCAGGGCAACAAAAAAAGACCCAGCCGATCAACTGGGACTCAATGGGAGGCATAGATGGGGGCAGGGCCAGTCAGAGCTGGTATTCCGAACTACTCAGAATTTCCGATACCGGTTCTCTAGAACCAGTCAGAACTGCTGAATACCACCTCTGCATTCCGTGTTTCTCCTTCTCGGATCTTGTAAAATGTGTGGACTTCAACTCCCAGAATTCTCCAGCTAGCATTCTGAGTTGAAGACCATAGAGATGTTGGCTGGCTAGGGAATTCTGGGGGTTGAAGTTCACAGAGGCTGGTTGGGGAATTCTGGGAGTTGAAGTCCATATATCCTAAAGTGGCTGAACTAGAGGTCACACTCTTCTATGGATTTGGTAAGTAAAGATCAGAAAATGCAGCTCTAATGAACTTCTAGTAAATAAGAGCACATGTCACACAGGTGATTTTATTCTCCATAGCAACCAGCATTCCTTCCCCTTCTTCCTTTTTACTGCTTGCTCCAGGCACCTGAGCTTTATGCAATATCCAGTTGGCTCCTGGACTCTGTTTTTCCCACATGTTGCTATTTCATTGGCTGGCTCTGCCATGGATTATTTCATTAGATCGTAACAGCAATAGGATTTCTCACTGAGACATAGACCTGAGGAGATCCTGATGCTGGAGGAGAGAGATAAAATTGCCTTCTCTGGAGGAAGATCAGATTTTAAAACATTGTCCTGGCTGAAACTTAGAGCCGTGAGCTTGCTTAAGCAGAGGCTGAAATCTTTGCCAAGTAAGTACACTTTGAAAACGCAATTGATGAAATTAAGTTTTAAAGGTAAAGGTAGGAAATTTGAGATCATTTTCATATACTAGAAGAGAAAACTTAGATCTAATATCCTTTAGATTGAAAGTATAGACTGATTTTTTTTCTTCATTTAGATATTTTGCCTGTGTAAATTTGGTAACGTACAAAGAAAAATAAATCCATACCTCCGTCTATTTATAGTTTATTTTTCTTTCTTTCTAATATCAACGTGTACTTACAGCTGGATCTAGTAATTTTTAATAATTTTATTCCTTGGTGTCCTAACTACACAAAATAATAAAATAAGAGTGGTTGAATTGCTTTGATCTTGTTTTCGGGGCAAAGAATTATTCAAGCATTGGTAAATGTACATGAAATTTACTAATAAAACTACGAATAGTTCTGTTGGAAAAGCTAGATAACAACTTCAAGTGAAAAGGTTTTTTCCCCCTTTAGGGGTATTATGGTTTTCCAATTGTTTGACAAGCCAAAAGCTGAGGTTTTTTTTTTAATGAATTAAAATTGTATATTTGGTAACAGAATTTCTAAAAATAAAAATGATAGTTTAGATAGAAAGCCTACCAGATTTTTTTTCCCATCAGCCCCTGAGTTGAAATCTTGTATATGAAATTGCAGAGAGTTTTTCCCCCATCAATTCTGGATTGTTTACAACTGTCCTTTTTCTTCTTCCAAACAGCATCTTAAATTCACCAAGTTTTGTAAAAAAAAAAAATCACAATAAACATAGAACTGAAGCTTCTTTTGTTTTGGCTGAAAAAGACTACAGGCCCAATGCTAGGAAAGCACAATAGACCAACATTTTACTACAAATGAGCCTTACCTGTTCACACATCATAACCTGCTAGGAACAATTGGTGGTTATACTCCCCAAGGGGTCATTAAGGAAGCTGGAAAGAAAAAGCTACATTAACTCCACCTCAGGTACAAGGAATTTCTCTAAGGGAAAATAGTTGCCAGGAAGAGTACTTGGGAGTGGCAACAAAGCCAACAAGGAGTGTGAAACTTAAGTATTTTCTACTCAGCAAGACAGAGTTTTATGCTAGGCAAAGCTACAAGGAAATTGCAAGAGATCTGCTTGTAGGAGTAGGAAAAATATTAGAATCTTATCAGGAAAAAGTAGGAGATACCCATTGGGACCTTGCAAAAGTAGACTTTGAAGTCTAGAGCTATATACTAGAGATGTTTACAATAACCAAGAGTTCTTTGAGCTTGGTTGTTTTCTTGGGGACGTTGCATTACCCAACTAGGTAACATCATCAATTTTAAAAAGGAGTGGGGTTTGCTCTTTGTTTATAGACAGGTGGCTTGCCCTATCAATATTGGTGGGAGAGTTCATAGTAGTTCTTTGATTACCTTGATTTGTAATAACTGGAATACAGATGTTTGGGAATTTAACTACCGTATGACATGCTAAATCAGTCTTTCCTACGGGAACACATTCTAGACTAAAGGTCTTCTCAAACCTGGCGAGTTTAAGACTTGTGGACTTCAACGCCCAGAATTCCTGAGCTAACATGACTGGAGGAGGAATTCTGGGCGTTTGAAGACCAGAAGTCTTAAAGCTATCAAGTAGATGATATCTAGATGTATCTGCTGCTGTTAAGCTTCCTGAAAATTTTAGAAGCTATGTTCCAACATAATTGGAGAACATCAGGTAGGGAATCTGCCATAATAATGAATTCCTGCCTTTTATCACTACAAACATCAGAAAATTTCATAGTTGATCCTGCCCAAAGTTTACTGCCAATCATTTTTCTACCATTTGAGTTTGTGCAGCTCCACCTTCCTTCTGTGAGCAACTTGGTAGAGATACTCCGATTCCATCAAATGAAACTTCTAGATGGATTTTGCTACAGGGATATTGTCTGAAAAAAACCAACCCTACATTATCGATGGATAGATTGTAAAAGAAAGTGTGTATTGGTTGCTGTGGACATGAAAGCAATCTGGTTGTTTTGAAACCTGGCTGTGACCAGCATGCAAAATACTTGCTTTTTTTCCATAAGTGGGTTCATGCCTCATTAACTTCGTAGAGCTGAGCTATATCTTGATTTCAGTGAAGCAGAGGAATTGCCTAAAACACGGTGATTAGAAGGGAAAGCTGTTGCCTGGGTACTTTAGAGCTTAAATTTGAATACAATAGAGGCAAACCCCAACCCCCAGGGCTATATTATTCATATATGTCAAAAGTTTAACTTGCCTTTTATCGGCACGCAAACACTTGCAAGTTTTTTGTATTGTTCAGTCAGTGGTAAAATTCCCTTTGATCTAACACCAAGATAGTACTTTGTGGCACAACAGTGCAAAAACTTTGTGGTTCATGATTTAGGAATCATGATTTAGACACTTGACAGGATGAAAGAATATCTGGGGGGGAAATTCTTATATGGATGTGGTCCCATACCACCACATCTTTGATAGCTACACGTTGAATTATGAATGGAGACAAAAGAAAGGAAGAAAATAATACACCTTAGCATTGTAAGTCTGATACTGTTGCCAAGACAAGGAAAAGAATTCATAAAACAATACAGCCTGAGTTTGCTATTGGTATATATGTAAGTTCCAACATGGTTGCAGATCTGCTTCATGATGTTGGGTGCATTAGGTATAATTCAACCATCTGTCATCCTTTGAAAACAACAGAACGTTGAGAGTTTTGAACTGATGGACAAGTCCACAGGTTCAGACAGCTGTGATGTAGTCAGCTGTGTCCTTGGGGAAATTCTCCTTTGCTTTCTTCAGCCACAGGTGCAGCTAAGGAGAATTTAAATAGCAAATAAGGGTTTGTTGGTGTGTTTTGCAGAAATGCGGGCAAGATTCAGTACAGAGAAATAATTTACGGTCAAATCAAGCATCTGAAATGTGTTGAAACTTTTCAAATGTACCCTGAAAAACATTTTAGGCTGACATAGAATCATGCCTTAAAGAGAAGAGCTTTTTTGCAATATAATTAAAGCATGCTTCAAAATACCCTTTGTAGGAGAAAATCACCCTGGTTTAAGTTTTGCCCATCTTTAATCATTTAGCATTACTTATAGAGGTTAAAGATTTTTTTTAAAAAAATAATGATGTAAGATTACCTAATTATTTCAGAACTGGCATTATATTAGGAATCACCTCTTTCTACTTCTATTTGAAGAGGAAAGCCACTTTATCAGCCACAAAGAAAAAAAAAAACTGTTTAAAGAACCATGTCAAACATTTGGGAATGGTTATAAAAATCAAATATCTTCACAGCAGTCTTTGATCAGATTTTACAATTAAAAAGTACAGTAAAAAGAGAGAATCATTTGTTGTTAAAGAAGAGAAAAACAATACGGCAATAAAACCACATTTTGGATTAAACGTTTTGCATAGCTGGTGAAGATATTTGGCAACATGGGCGTGTATGGGATAGTTACAAAAGTGGTAGGGGTTTCAGGACGAAACCTATGAAAACTATGTTACTCTTCCTTGACCTTCTTCAGCCCTTCTGATGTGTTTGGGTGGTCTGGTGAATTGGATAAAGATTTTAGAAGCTGCAATTGTAGCATCACTAAAGGGCAGCAGGTTAAGAAGAGCTGGGCTAGCCATGAAAGCACCTTGGCTTACCTTTGTCTTGTCTGTTTTTCCAGATTAAGGCTTCAGGCATGGCTGCATCCCCTCAGGCCTTGTTTTCCTTGCTGCTTCTGGGCCTGTTCAGCAATACTGGAAGAGCACAGAGAAATCCCGAGGTATTCTGTGGAGGTTAGTGTCTCAGCTGGGTATTTCTCTATGCCCCCAAAGGATTTGTGGTTCACAGGTTTGATAATTCTGCACAAATAAGCCAATAACTTCTCACTTAGTCTGTTCCCTTAATACCAGAGTTTTTTTTTTTAATGGAGACTGAAAGTCGGAGATGTTTCAATGAACCCCCATCATCCTTTCCTTACAAGTAAGTGGTCTTCAATTTATGACCACAAATGGGACCAGAATTGCCACTGCTAAGCAAGGAGGCTGTTAAGTGAGCCATATCCAATTTTACAACCTTCTCTTTTTTTTTTGCCATGATTAATAAAATGAATCATTGTGGTTGTTAAGTGAGTTATGCAGTTGTTAAATGAACACAGGATGCTGCAGCAGTTGTGCAAATTCACACGACATCGGGATGCTGCAGCAGTTGTGAATAATGCCGCTTGCCAAGTGCCCAAATTTTGATTGTGAGACTGTTGGAAGGCAGCAACTATTGTGTGAGCACTTCCCCCTCCCTGTGCCATTGTAATTTTGAACAGTTGCTAAACAAATGGTTGTAAGTCCAGGACTACCTGCATTCTTTTTTTTTTCTCCATTGTTTCCCTTCATTGGAGTGGTTAGAGTGTGTGTGCAAATCCAAAGTAGAATGTCAGAAATGGTGTAGCAGGGCCTCCTGCTTAGGTGGTGGGGGGGGGGCTGGACTAGATGAAACTACAAGGTCCCTTCCAACTCTGATTATCTGTAAAAGAATCTGTAAAAAAATAATGCAGGACTGTAAACTAATCCATGGTTTCTGCTGCCTTGTCCCAAAGGTGCTTTTTTTTTTTCCCCCCAAGAGGCAGCTGGGCTTTCTGATTTTTCTTTGAAGATGTTTCACTTCTCATCCAAGGAAGCTTCTCCAGCTCCAGCTAGATGGTGGGGAATGGAAGGATTTATATTCCTTGCAGACAATATTACAAATCCTTCCATTCCCCGCCATCCAGTCAGAGCTGAAGAAGCTTCTTGGGTGAGAAGCGAAACGTCTTCAAAGAAAAAAACAAGAAAATCCAGTTGCCTCCTGAAAAAGCACCTTTGGCACAACCATGGCCTCTGGATCACTGAGAAACTCCATGGATTGTCTGCCTTGAATGCAAAGAATGCATCTGATAATTTTAAAGAGTGAATTATCCTATGGGTATAAGACCTTTTGCATCTGGGAAAGCTGGTGGAATTTATTTTATTTATTTATTTTGCCAAGCATGTAATAGATAACAGATATAAGTATAAACATACGTTAAATAGATACGAATAAAGGGGAACAGTAGGACAGGGAAAGTAGGCACATTGATGTGCTTATGTACACCCCTTAAAGATCTCTTATGAATGGGGTGAGGTCAACAGTAGACAGTCTAAGGCAGGGGTGGTATAGATAATTTTATGTACTATGCTTAGGTCAGACCTAAGGCAGCATAGTTCTAGGTTGTCTAAGTCTAACATTTCAAGTCTGTTCCCCTTCAAAAAGACCTCGACTATGTATCATAATGGTCAAACAAATGGCAACTTCAAATCTCAACAAATAAATGCTCTGTCTTACATATTGGCAAAAAAAAAACAGAAAATAAAATACAGGCTGAATAGTCAAGACCTTGTTGATGATCCAAACTCTGTCAAGGATCTTGGAGGACTCATCTCTAATGATCTAAGTGCTAGAGCCCACTGTAACTACATAGCCAAAAAGGCATTAAGAGTTGTTAACCTAATCTTACATAGCTTTTTCTCTGGTAATATTACACTACTAACTACAAAACATTTGCTAGACCAATACTGAAACACAGCTCATCAGTCTGGAACCCACATTACATATCTGATATTAACACAGTTGAGAAAGTCCAGAAATATTTCACAAGAAGAGTTCTCCACTCCTCTACTTGTTGCAGAATACCTTATGCCACCAGACGTGAAATTCTAGACCTAGAAAACCTAGAACTACACCACCTTCAGTCCGATCTAAGTATAGTATATAAAATCTTACATTGCAATGTCCTACCTGTCAATGAATACTTCAGCTTCAACCACAACAATACAAGAGCAAACAATAGATACAAACTCAAGGTTAATCGCACCAAACTTGATTGCAGGAAATACGACTTCAGCAACAGAGTGGTCAATGTCTGGAATATTCTACCTGACTCTGTGGTTTCTTCCCCAAACCCCAAAAACTTTAACCTTAGACTGTCTACTATTGACCTCACCCCTTTCCTAAGAGGTCTGTAGGGGGCATGCATAAGCATACCAACGTGCCTACCGTCCCTGTCCTATTGTTTCTTTTATTTTTCTTATATGTATCCATGTATTCATAACTATGTTTTTACTTATACCTATTATTTTGTAAGCAATTGACAAACCAAATAAAATTAAAATAAAATAAGGTATTCTGTTGCGGGTAGAGGAGTGGAGGAATCTTCTGGTGAAATATTTCTGGACTCTCTCGAATTGCCCCCACTGTTCCCCCCCCCCCCCCCGAAAAAGGGCCTTGCTTAAGGCTGCTACTTTGAACCTTGCTTATGGCATCCACATCAATGCTCCTTATACTGATGGACTCATACGGTGGAAGACCTTGTAATTTGGTTCTTTCTTGCGTTTGCAGTATCACATGTTCTTCTGGTGCAGCTTCTCAGTATAGGCGTTTCTGGAGCCAGGCTGAAATAGCAGCAAAACAGCAATAAGCTGATATATAATGCCAGTGGATGACATCTTGCTGGCTCTACCTTACTTCAGATTGAGGGTGAAGGGCTACCTGCTTGAATTGTCTGGTATTTACAAATAACCCACTGAAGGCACAGTCTTCCTCAGATCCTTTTTATGATCAGGCAAGAAAAACCAAAAGTACACATACAGACTGGGTGAAACCAGGCTCAATAGCAATAACTGTGAGAGGGATCTTGGAGTCTTAGTGAACAACCAGCTAAATATGAGCCAGCAGTGTGCAGCAGCAGCCAAAAAAGCCAATGCAATCCTAAATTGCATTAACAGAGGGATACAATTGAGATCAAGTGAGGTACTAATACCACTCTATAAAGCCCTAGTAAGACCACACCTAGAGTACTGCATCCAGTTTTGGTCACCACACTATTAAAAAGATATTGAGACTCTAGAAAAAGTGCAGAGAAGAGCAACCAGGATGATTAGGGGACTGGAGACTAAAACATATGAAGAACGGTTGCAGGAACTGGGCATGGCTAGTCTAGAGAAGGGAAGGACCAGGGGAGACATGATAGCAGTCTTCCAATATTTGAGGGGCTGCCACAGAGAGGAGGAGGGGGTCAAGCTATTTTCTAAAGCACTCAAAGGCCAGACAAAGAATAATGAATGGAAACTGAACAAGGAGAAATTTAACCTGGAAATAAGGAGAAACTTTCTGACAGTGAGAACAATCAACCAATGGAACAGAAGTTGCCCTCGGAAGTTGTGGGTGTGCCATTACTTGAGACTTTCAAGAAGAGATTGGACTTCCACCTGTCAGAAATGGTGTAGGGTCTCCCGCTTGGGCGGGGGGGTTGGACTAGATGATCTACAAGGTCCCTTCCAACTCTGATGATCTTTTATCCCCTTAAATTATTCTGCTATCCATTGCTCACCTACAATCTGAAATGCGACCATTTCTAACACAGAGATCTCTCTGCTGATCTATCTTTATTGCTTGGGCCACATGATCCTTTATGGCTTTTTTGCTACAAGAAAATGACAGAATGTCATAAGAGAATAACCTTACTCAATAAGTAAGCATACAAGTGGTCTTCAATTTATGAAGAGTCATTTAGCAACTATTCAAAAACTTATGACAGATCTCCATGGGGGTACCCACCTTCTGATGGTCTTTTACCCCCCACCTTCTCCTCCTTACCTTCTGATGGTCACATGATTGCATTTCAGATGCTAAGCAATGGATCCACATTTGCAATATTTACAGGTTCCATTGGTGAATGTGCATTTTATATTTTTGCTGGAAACGAGCATATTCGTTTTTTTTGACAAAACCGGCCTATAGCAAACAACCACAAGGTGGCTTAACAATTGCCACAAAAAGGTCATAAAATTGGGTCAATTACCTGGGTGACTTGCTTTACAACCCTCATGATATGACTAATGGGCAGGCTCTGTTATAGTCTTAAGTCAAAGACTACCTATATCCCTGCTTTTATTTGTTTCCATTAAAGCCAGCGGTGGGATTCAAATAATTCAACAACCAGTTCTCTGCCCTAATGATTTCTTCCAACAACCAGTTTACCAAACTGCTCAGAAAGTTCGCAACCGGTTCTCCCGAACTGGTGTGAACTGGCTGAATCCCACCATTCACCTAAGAGCAATTTCAACTCAGGGCGGTAGGATCGCCTCTGGAGGAAACCTGGCTAGGAGAGAAAATAAACTTTTGCTTCATCTACAGGTAGTTTGACGCTCGCTTGATATGTTAAAATTGCCTTAGAAAGAGAGTTGACTGGCATTGTTCGCTGTGCATCCCTCAGTACCTAGAGACAAAGATTCAACCCCTGCAGTAGCACCCACGTTGCTCTCTCTCCTCCTCCCCAGCAATTCTACCTGGCTGCAAACAATAAGGCTTTGTCATCCACTGACAGTTGTGCACACAAGGGGGAACATTCTCCATCTGTGGTCTCCTAGCACGGAGGCGAGTGGTTGGTTTTTCAAACAGATGGCACCACGCGCTGTAAGAAACGAACGCCTCTCCCGAGACGGGTAACCTGACAAAAGTAGTTGCAACAACATATTGAAATAAATCCTCCCTTGATGTCTGCCAGGGCTTCGGAATCTTCAATTCCAAGATCTCTTGACAAAAAGTCTGGTTTGGGTGATTCGGGTGCGGTGGTTTTGAGACAGGCCACCTTGTGTTTCCTGGAAAGTAGCAGAAGGAGACAGGGTGGCCAAAGACACGCCGCCCCTAGAAATGTGCTTTGATTGAAAAAGACCCACCGCAGTAGTAGCAAAGATGCCTTTTCCAGGCAGAAGGAGTTCAGCTCAGG